GTTCATTAGTGTAGATCTCACAGCCATTACTCAAGGGTTTACAGTGCAGACTCCCTCTACACTTTCCTTGACGTAACTACCTACACAACTACTTATCCGACCACAAATCCCTTGTGGTTTTTCTAGTTTGAATCCCTCAAACACTTATATGAACTACGAGTACGAGAACAAGCTCTCGTCTCATACTTAATCAAACAACACAAAAAATCACTCTTAAATAATTCTACGCATATGTTTTTCTCTCGATTCACTTCTTTCAAGTTCTAATAATTCTTCATACAACCAACACCTCTTCAGACTTTCTTTTCGCACTTAAATATGTTGAACTCTTGTATGGTAATTTTAATTGCTCTCGGTACCAAGCTACGCTCCCACAAGGAAAGTTTCGTATTGAGTTGCTGCTTCACTTGGAATGTTTGACCCCCACACTTCAAATCTTCATATTTGGTAAGCGAATTCTTCCATTTATTCGTGCACAAATAAATAGACTAATCAACTAATTTTCATTATCTAATATTTAATCAAACCATAAAATAAAATACTTCTCTTATATATACGATCAGCATATATCCTGGGACAAATGAAGGTTCGTCGATTTACTGTCAATCTTCAAAACTTACACAATGCATATCCAAACTGGACGCATAGTAATAATTATCCAAAATACTTTCACATATTTTACAATCACATATCAAAATCTACCGCATAAATAACATATGCGAAAAGTTTCGTCTATTTAGTTATAGCATATCCAAATCAAACGTCACATAATTATAATTATGCGACGTTTTTTCGCATAATTTATGACTCGCATATCCAAACTAATAACGTCATAAAATTAACGATTAGGTGTAATATGATCACATACAACATATCTAAATCGAAAGCTGCATAATTTAGGACTATCCATCATTTTTCCGTCGATCCATATCACAAATCGCATATCCGGGAAAATGTTTTGTATATTATTCTCATAATTTACGCACCAATATTATTGTCTAATCTTCATGTAAAATGTATTATCTGATATGATCACTATATAATATATAATTGATCTTTCATATTCTATACCTTTTTTATGTTATTTTATGCTACTATACAGTTTTTACGTAATTTTTATTGCCACAAGTAAAATATAAACCTTGAATATCTTTCACATGTAGATAAATATAAAATTAAAGGATAAATGTGATAGTTATCTCCTGAATCATTGTCGTATTGGAACTATTTTTATACATAAATTATTTTAAAGTATTTTTAATAAGTATTTTACAAATATTTTCATAATAGTTGGATTGGATTTTTGTTTATACTAGTGAGAATGTCGTGCGATGCACGGTAGTTTCGTACCTTAGAATATTTTTTCAAAATTTTATTTTAACAATATATTAGCCAGCTGACACGTTTATCTTAATATAAATAATATTTTAACATATATATTTATATTTTAATACATAAAAAAATATAATTTTACATATTTTGGTTCATCATAATACTCAAATATTATTTTATTTAAAAATTTATTGGCGCATAATGTCATTATTATATATGACACTTACAGAAGTAATATTTTTTTATATATATAATAATAAATATTTAATGTATATTAATATTTTTATTGATGTAACTAATTTAAAAATATATAAGCAAACTTAGTGTTTGTTAGGAATGAAATTATATGTAAGTTAACATAAAATAGAATGTATCCAAAAAATTCTACTTATGATATTTTCTTTTAAATGTTTGAATGAATAAAAAATTCAAATTACAAATCAACCACTAGTTTTTCAAAGAATTTCAAAAAGTTACCAATTGGAATAAAATTTAAACTTTTAGGCGAAATTTTAGTTTCTACTTAAAATAAATCCCTATTGCTATTTCATAGTGATAGATGATAATTTATGCATTGTGTATAATTTCATATTTTTTAATGTAAACAATATTTATTTAATTAAAAAATTGTAGTTATGATCATATTATTGCTCTGTAAATTATAACAAAATTATTATTATTATTACTAAATTATTATTAAAATTATAATGTAAATAAATGTTTTTTATTAAAATAAAATAAAAAATATATTAAATGATATACAAAAACATTACATGTTTTTGCTTAGTTGTCAAAAATGCAATTGAAAAATAAACCAGATATTGCAAGAGAAACGAGTAAAATGGTTAGAATCTTACCAACCATCCCGCCTATATTGTGGTACATGTGAACAAATCGCCATTATTCTTATATATAATTCTCGAATGCGCTCAGCCTAAGTGGCAGATTCGTGTTCATCGTAAGCTTATTTGGCATAAATTGGTGCTTCGGATTAACACATTTTTAGGTTTGGTTTTGACTATTAGGCTTGAAAATTACCATAAATTATTTTAGTTTCCCTTTTTCTTAAGTTAACATATATTGTTCTTACCTTTTTTATTTAATTCATATATTAGTTATTATAAATATGTATTCTTTTTATTTTTAAAACTGTATAACTTTTTTATTTGCATTTTATATTTTATATATGATCTACCAAAATAAACATATTTTAGTGATTTTCTATTTGACATCCATATTTCATATATAAAATAAATAATAATTTTATCTATATTTATAAATAAAATTAATTTTATTATTAACTCAGTTTAAAATACATCAAATAACAATATAAATTATTTTATAAAAATAATAAAAATCTAATTTATTAATACGCCACAAAATAATCATTTTATTTTTTCCATAAATTTTGGAAAAAAATTGAAATTAAGTATCACATAAAATAAATTTTAAGAAATATTATTTCTCAATTTAAATATGTTATATAAAAAACTAAATGTTATTATGTTATCTAAAATAGTAAATATAAAAGAATATCTTAATTAAATATAATAAAATAATTTTGTATTTCATAAAGTTAAAAAATAATATATTTCTACGTAAATTTTAAATTATGAATTATATGGATTTAAAATACTTGAAAAGTTAATAGACGTTAGACAATACTCTATAAATATAAAATATAATCACAACACAATAAAACTTATTTTGTTTACAAAAACAAATCAAATATATGGAATAGTAAATAATATCAGTTTTATACATATATAATTTTAGAAATATAATTAAGAAATATCTTTTTTGACAAATTTAGTGTAAAAATGCGAACACTATTTAAAATAATTAGTATTTAGTTAGTTATTTATTATTGTTACATATTATCATACATAATTTCACAATAAAACTATAAATTATTTTAATTTTTATTGTACAAATATTAATTTATTGCTACTAGTTTATTATAATCCTCCAAATGGTACAATCAAGGTGATCTCCTGGAATCTTTTTCTATTTTATATCTGGTCATTTTTCTTGGATTGAAGATATCTATTATTATATAATACGAAGAAGAAAAATTATTTGAACAATCCGAAAATAATCATTTCGTTTTCCCGCTTCAATATAGTATTTTTCCCGCTTCTTCAATTCGTAAAATTTTTTTTTGAATTTTTTCAGCCCATGCAATTAGGTAACCAATCAAATCGAATCTTTTAGCATTCAATTTGGTAAGGTGTTCCGATTTTAGCATTCAAATCTGATTTCACTTCCCTTTTTTTATGCCAATCAATCCGATTTTTTTGGTTGTTTCAAAATTTGTTTAGATTTATATTTTTATTTGATTAATATATTTGAAAGAGAATCAATAAATATTTATCATAACTCTTATTTTAAAAATAAATTTGAATAAGCATACCTTTTACTTTATATGAAATTCAAAATTACATATTTTAATATATTAATAAACGTTTATTATTTATTTTTTCCTTATGTGATATAATAGAATTTCGGTATTAAATTTGTAAATTCAAACATTTAAAGGAAAAGATTCCAAACAATTTTTTTGGGTAAATTTCATTTTATCTTGGTTTTCATTATCACATTTCTAACAAACTAATTAGCAATATATTTTTTTATCTACATTATCTAACCGATTTTTTATGATACAATTAATATAATATCTTAACAAATTAATCATTTGTCTAACCGGATTTATCTCTCTAACAAACATGTCAATTTTTTTTAAATTAAAATGGTATGATTATTCTTATGGAGATACTTATCAATATATTAAATATTTAGAAACTTTTTTAAAAAATGAGTTATCCCTCCTTTTACTTTATTTGAAATTTTGACTTATATTTTTAAATATATTATTATTTATTTTTTTACATGTAAATATTTATTATTTATTATCTAAGTGATAAATATTATTGATTTATCTCTTTAATAAATATTTATTATTTATTTTTTTCCTTACGTGATATAATGTAAATTTGGTTACTAGATTTTTAAATTCAAACATTTAGGAAAAAACCACGAACAAATTTTTTGGTTACATTTCATTTTATTTTAACTTCCATATAATCACAATCCTAACAAACTAATTAGTATAATATTTTTTTACCCATTTTTATATAATCGGATTTCTTAAAATATAATTAATATAACATTTTAACTATTTAATCATTTGTATAACTTGATTTAACTCATTATCAAACTTGCCAAATTTTTTTTGAAATTAAAAAAAATATGGAAGATTTTTATTTGTAAAATAATAAAAAATAGCTTTACTTTAAAGTCTGGATTATTTCCATTATTTTTTGTACGTTAACAATCATATATTTTGGATTATTGATTTAAAAAAACAAATCAAAACCGTAAGGTTTAATAATATTCCTTAAATAAAAAATATTGTATAAAGAAAAGTATTTAATATTATATATTTTTCATTGATTGTATTTATTTTATTTTCATAATAGACGAGATGTGAAAAATATAAATAATTATATTTAAAATAAAGTCTAAAAAATGTTTAAAATATGAACTCTTCCGTGCATCGCACGAGATATACACTAGTTTACTTGCTAATAGTCCCACTATTTTTTAATTTTTATTTTTTAAATTTCCTTGGTCCTCTTAAAGCTATACATGGCCTGCTCCCTCTGCCCTCACCCGACGTGCCCCCACTCCCTTGCGTCCCTGGGAGTGTGCGCCAAAGGAAAATAAATACAAAAACATAGAGGGGAATCTTGCAGCTCATCGTCCAATTCCCTGTAAACACATAATAAAAAACAAAAACATTTTCTCAAAAAATAAAATAAAAAAAAAAAATAAAAATAAAAAAATGCCCCTACTAGATCTTAAAAGATCAAATCAAAATGATCCCATGGCTCATTCATTGCCAATCAGGAGAAATACATCGTTACTGAGCAATACATCAGATCAGCGTTCAAACGCTACATCTGTCATCCCCATTGGCAAACCATACATCTATTTCTGTCTACTTTATAAGCAAAGTCCTCAAAACATGAACCAGCAGCCACTCTAATCCGGCCAACCCACCTCACGACCGCTCGCCTAACTGGAGAAAATATTATTCGCAACCACCGAGCCCTTATTTGCTAATAGCCGACAATAATGATTCCAACCAAGATCGGTACACCCGTACATCAGGTTCAATACTGCAAGGATGGCCTGATAAAGACAATCATTTTCAAAAAACACATCACCCATGTCAACAAAAAATAAAGTCACTGAAACAACGCCCAATGAAATAACTCACGGAGAAACAAGTAAGTCTTAATCCGCGTACAGCTCCACTTTGTGGATAAACGGCGTAAGTCCCAATCTGCAAACAATTCAACTTTACGAAGAAACGACGTGGGTTCTAATTCGCAAAACGACTTTAGCCGATCTCGCGTAGAAAAGGTGTGAGTCCTAATTCTCATACAACTCCTTTTTGCGGGGGCACACTCATGTAAAGCACAATTCTTTTCATATCATTGGGGGACAGAGTATATCAACGGAAACAATGTGTTCACTATGCTTGCAATCCAACTTAAAATAAAGGCCAATCAATAAGTAAACAAAGATTGATACCACCAATATATTGAAAGATATCACAATTAAGACATGATACAGCCAAAAGGAGCTTACATAGCAGATAAAATTCTGACAGCAAAGCTAGAAAACAAAGAAATACGCCACCATAACATACGCTATATCAGCAGCAGCTCTGTTCTATTCCAACATAAGAATCAACTGAAAAGGAACACTGTTTTATATGCTCTGGACATACGGATAAATATTCGTAACATAATCTACTTCGTCACGGAGGCCGAGATCCTTCAACACCCGGTTATGACAATCGTAAAGCAGTAGGGAATAATTGGACCTTAAAAGCACAACTTTATCATTCCTGTAGAGGCCCAATACAGCCTCAACACAAACATCATCATCAAGAAGAGGGACAGTGTACGTAGAATCGAAAGACCATCCGTCATTCCATACCCAAATCTCGAATTCAAAAGGTTCCTTTACAACAGGTTCATCATCACGCAGGTACTTAGATACAATAGCGGCAAGCGACCCATGAACCTCGGCAATGTCAAGACAACGTGGGTGAACGAGTCTATCGCTATCCGGGATTGGGATAAGTTCCGGAAAATTCTCATTGGTAAAGTCGAATGAAACAATAGCGGTACGTAAACGGGCCGGTTCCGAGACCGGGGCGGCTATCCAATAGGAAATGCCATTTATGTGAACACAAGTGCGTGGAATGGGTCTCGTGTATGGACAATGAGGATACGGAATTCTCTTCCAAGAACCAGTTTTGAGGGAGAACAATGCAGTGTGGGCTTTGGCCTCCACCCGCACCTGCCCACAACAATGCCCTTCCAAAAGGCCATATCGGACCACCTTATAGTCATCAGATGCAGGATCAAACCCTATGCTGTGACAATTCCATTCAACTTCAAAATTGATATCATGAAAGAGTGGCGACCAAGCAAAGAAAGGAAGAGGTCTCATCTCGTTGGTGGTTGGGTTCCACAGGAGCTCATGTGGAACTCCAGCTAGATCTATTACCTCGATACATTTCAACAACATCCATTTGTTGTAACTCGATAGGATACAATAATTGCCTCTATTAAACATATGACAGTATTCTTCAGCTCTGAGCATAGAGAAGTTAGGGGGATTGTGTTGTACTGCTTTGAAGGAGCCGCCTTCGGTTGAGATAAAAGAGTAATCACGCGTTCCGCAGCTGCGCACGTGCTCCACCGCGAGCATGAGAGTATTGTTGCTGATGTTGGCGCAACGCTTCAGATCGGGCGGATACCACAACGCTTGTGCCAGGGCAGTACCACCGGTGGACGGAGCATCTTTTAAATTTGCCGAGAAGAATCTATTAAATTTGTATTTGGCGCTGGCCACAAGATTGGTGGTGGTTTTGAGGATTCCCATGGCGGAAGAAGGAAAGCCTAGCCCTAGCCGCACGACCCTGTTTGAAAACCCTATTTAGCCTATTTTGTTTAATACACCCAAACCCAATCCACTACATATAAAATGACGGCAGTTTCAACTTTCAACCAACTCCTATTTTAGGTTCACTAGAGTCCCCGCCAATTCCTAAATAGGAGTATTCAGCCCATTGAGACGGCTCAAGTAGTTCCTAAATAGGAGTATTCAGCCCATTTGAAAAAAATAAAAAAAAAATAGTGAAGAGGTGAAAGCTATGGTGAGGACTGTAGAAGTTTGGATGGACCTCTACAGCTTCCAGCTCAAGGAATCAATAAGAATTACCCAAATTTTGTGTTCTTTTTAGAAACGAAAAAATATTCGAACTTTTCTATAAACTTTACGAGCCCATAAATATTGGCCGGGCCATCAAAGATGTTCCACAAAACAGTAGTCAACAGAGCCGACTTATTCATCCAGTTGTAGGGAATGGTATGGAGGTATCGCTAGTTTCAGAAAAAAAGAGTACGTTGACTCTTTTTAGTCAAAGTAGCTGAATCTCGACATTTGCTTGTGCCGGGCGCACAGACTGTAGGCGAGGATCGGAACAGGCAAAAAGACACATTGCTGGTAGAGAGCAAGGTTATTGATCCTTCGAGCAAAGCACTTGATGTAAGTAGACGAAGACTGAAAAGATTGAATCTTGAAAAGAAGAGATTGTGCTGAAAGGGGCTGTTGTCACCAATGTTTTTGGTAATGAAATAAATTTTCGAAAAACATGTTTATTTTGTGGATAAGGGCCGGGAGGGATTAGGTAAATTGTTCATGGCTTCAAGTAGTACAAAAAATGTTGTATTTAGCCGATCCAAGAGTTTTGGATAGAAGCTGGTGAGGAATCACAGTCGAGGGAGAACAAAAGATTTTCTCAGAGCTCAAAAAGTAGCAAAAGTGGGGAATGCAGCAGCACAACAAGCTACAGGGAAGATCATATGACATGCAAATATATAATGGAAGATATGTTCTTCATGGGTTACAGATGGTTTACAAATCTATGAACTAATTCATATTAGAAAAATCCTGATCCTTCAGTGTTGCTTGAAATCAGTTTTTCACGTTTTAAGCGTACAAGGGAAGTCTAAAAGAGCGCGTTTAATTGTAGAGTAAGTGACCTATATGTAGCATAAGAGATTGAAAATTTGTGTAAATATAATCTCAAAGCTCAAAGTGTTAAGCTACTATTAGGTTGGTGAGTTGTAGGATTCTCTAGAAGTCCAAACAGAGGCACGGTTAAAATCTGATGAACCCTTTGTTTTTACTTTTTAGAGTACAAATAGGTTATATAGAGTTTGAAGTAAAAGTTAGCTATTGGATCATTTGTTTTTTAATTCTTTTGTTGCAGTCAAAGCTTCCATTATATATTTGCGAACACCTCCAAACATCGCTAGTATTTTAAGATTCTATATATGTTGTCATCATCCAGATTTTCTCAAGGTAATTCTCAATTCTAACAAAAATGCTGGTTCCATACAGCTGAAAGTTCATTGTGCACTAGAACACCTTTACATGCTCAGGATAATGTACCGAGTCTTGAAGCCCGAAAACATTCTAATCAGAAAAGACGGCCACATCATGCTATCAAATTATGACCTATACTTTAAACCCTCATCAATAATCTCATGCCACTAAAAACATCTCCATTTTCCGATGGGCCTCCAAATGACATAATGAGTTCGTGCTATCAGCAGCAGCTCTGTTCTATTCCAACATAAGAATCAACTAAAAAGAAGTACTCTTTTATATACTCTGGACATAAGGATAAACTTTTATAACATAACCTAGTTCGTCAAGGATGCCGAGATCCTTCAACACCCGGGTTTGACAATCGTAGAGCAGCAGGGAATCATTGGAGCCCGTAAGCAGAGCTTTATCATTCTTGTAGAGGCCCAATACACCCTCGACCCAAACATCATCATCAAGAGCAGGTACATTGTATGTAGAATCCAAAGACCAGCCATCATTCCATACCCAAATCTCGAATTCAAAAGGTTCCTTTACATCAGGTTCATCATCAGGCAGGTACTTAGTTACAACAGCAGCAAACGACCCACGAAACTCGACAATGCGAAGACAACAGGGGTCAACAAGTCCATCGCTCTCTGGGATTGGGATAAGTTCCGGAAAGTTCTCATTAGTAAAGTCAAATGAAACAATAGCGTCCGGGGCACAGCCCGCTTTCCAATAGGAAATGCCATTTATGTGAACACAGGAGCGTTGAATGGGTAGCATGCAGGGACAATGAGGATAATGAATTCTCTTCCAAGAACCAGTTTTGAGCGAGAACAAAGCTGCGTGGGCTTTGGCCTCCACCTGCACCTGCCCACACCAATGCCCATCCGAAAAGCTATATCGGACCACCTTATAGTCCTCAGATGTGGGATCAAACCCTATGCTGTGACAATCCCAATTGTCTTCTAACAATCTCAAATCACGAAAGAGTGGCGGGCAATTAAAGAAAGGAAGGGGTCTCACCTCGTGGGTCGTAGGGTTCCACAGGACCTCATATGGATCTCCATATTGTATCTTGTTACAATTCAACAACATCCATTTGTTGCAACTCGCTAGGATTTCATAATTGCCTCTGTTAAACACATGAGAGTATTCTTTATCTCTGAGCATAGAGAAGTTAGGGGGATTGTCTTGTACTACTTTGAACGAGCCGCCTTCGGTTGAGATAAAAGAGTAATCACGCGTTTGGCAACTGCGCACATGCTCCACCGCGAGCATGAGAGTGTTGCTGCTAATGTTGGCGCAAAGCTTCAGATTGGGCGGATACCACAACGCCTGTGCCAGGGCAGTACCGCCGGTGGCCGGAACATCGTGGTCAATCGAAGAAGACGAGTAACTTGCCGAGAGGAATCTATTAAATTTGTATTTGGCGTTGGCCACAAGATTGGTGGTGGTTTTGAGGATTCCCATGGCGGAAGAAGAAAGCGTTGCCGCACGACCCTGTTTGAAAACCCTATTTAGCCTATTTCGTACTAATATTCTCGATTTAATAGGCCCAAACCAATCCACTGCATACAAAATGACGGCAGTTTCAACTTTCAACCCACTCCAAATTTTAGGTTCACTAGAATCCCCGCCAACTTCTCAAAACCTACAATCCAACTCCTCTGCAACAGCCTTACCTCCAGAAGACCAACATGCTGTCAAAGCTCCAGTAGAGAATCAAGATAAGAGTCTGTGCCTGGTTAACCAAGATAAAGAAATTTCAAGTCTGGTCATAACTAGGAATATTCAGTTGTAGGGAATGGGATGGAGGTATCACTAGTTTCAGAAAAAGTCCGTTGACTCTTTTAGTCAAAGTAGCTGAATCTCGACATTTGTTTGTGCCGGGATCGATGACGGTAGGCAAGGATCGGAATAGGCAAAAAGACAAATTGCTGGTAGAGAGCAAGGGTTATCGAGCCTTCGAGCAAAGCACTTGATGTAAGCAGAGGAAGACTGAAAATTCTTAATCTTGAAAAGAAGAAGATTGTGCTGAATGGGGCTGTTTTCACCAACGTTTTTGGTAATGAAATAAATTTTCGAAAAACATGTTTATTTCGTGGATAAGGAATCAGGTAAACTGTTTATGGCTTCAAGTAGTACAAAAAATGTGGTATTTAGCCGACCCGAGAGTGTTATGATAGAAGCTGGGGAAAAATCGCAGTGGAGGGAGAACGAAGGATTTTCCTCGAAGCTCAAAAAGTAGCATAAGTGGGGAGTGTACAAGGGAAGGGAGCGCGTCTAATTGTAGAATAAGTGACCTATATGTAGCACAAGAGATTGAAATTCGTAGCCTGAAGTTGAAAATTTGTGTAAATATAATCTCAAAGCTGAAAGTGTTAAGCTACTATTAGATTGGTGATTTGTAGGATTGTGTACAAGTCCAAACAAAGGCACGGTTAAAATCTGTTGAACCCTTTGTTTTTAGAGTACAAATAGGTTATATATAGAGTTTGCAGTAAAAGTTATTTGGATCATTTGTTTTTTTAATTATTTTGTTGCAGTCAAAAGCTTCCATTATATATTTGCCAACACCTCCAAACATTGCTAGAGTATTTTAAGATTCAGTGTCATCATCATCCAGATTTTCTCAAGGTAATTCTCAATTCTAACAAAAATGCTGGTTTCATGCAGCTGAAAGTTCATTGTGCACTAGAACGCCTTTAAATGTTGGTTTACATGCGGCCACATCATGCTATCAAATTCTGACCCATACTTCAAATCTCCATCAATAATCCCATGCCACTAAAAACATCTCCACTTTCCGATGGGACTTCAAATGACATAAAGATATATTATGCCGTGTGTTTGAAAATTGGACATTGAAAATGGAGGGAAACACCATTAGAGATGCCTTGAGTGCTGTAGTTTGGGAAATTTAGAGGTGATGGGGTGGGTTTTTGAGATGCTCTTTGGCTTTTCTTGTTTACCTGACCTTGGCCTTGTTGTAAGTTGTAAGTTATGCATAAATCATAGTGTGCATACATATGCAAGTAGCATTTCTTTTCTCTAGCAAAAATTAGCTAGTTACACTGGTTAATTTTGATCTTCCATCATAAGAGAAATACAAACTTACATGCAAATAGCATGTCTTTTCTCTAGCCAAAATTAGCTAGTTACACTGGTTAATTTTGATCTTCCATCATAAGAGAAATACAAACTTACTGGGAAACTTCATATTTTTCTAGATGAGTGTTACTTTATTTTTGGGAAGTGTTACAAAAAAAGTGGTAGAAGTGATTGTATAGCTACAAACTCTTGCTAACTTGCTCATCTCTATTAAGCTTGTTTAGAATCTACAGACTATCCACTGAATTCATAGTAGAGGAAAATAGAAGGAAAATAGAGGCTTCTATTTTTACTTGTATGGGTTAATATATTGATACATATAAGCTAGGCAAGCAATCCAGCATGTTGATTCATGGCTACAGAGATAATTTGGGTTGTGACTTGAAGTTCTCGTTATTTGTATTCGATTTTTTTTTTTTTTTTCCTTGTTTAATATTTGAATACGGATCCCATAAACTACCATCCAAAAGGCGTGGAACACTGGAATTGAGCGGTTTGATTTCATGGATTTCAAATTGTATTATGGCAACGGATAGGCAAAACAAAGATACATTATGTTGCATTGGAAACTAAAATTATGTGAGCTGTAGTGTCTTGATTTCTTACCAATATGTGCTTGCTACGTTTTCAGAATATTGATTTATCCCACTTGCATTCGACTTCCATGAAAAAAGCATAATTCTTTACCAGACATAAGATAAAGAGCACACAATTACCTCACTATCAGTATGGGCTATTTCTTGTTACGGGGAATGCTACCATCCCGTTAACGGGATGGTTCCGTTGTGTTTTTAACCGTTGGATTAACTACCCATCACTAGATTATATGTACATCTATGGCTAGAAAACACAACGAAACCATCCCGTAACGGGATGGTAGCATTCTCCTCTTGTTACAAAATTGGGTGTCTAAATACACAGGAATCATAAGAACTGAAGTATATTTTTCAGTTCTTACAAATGAACTAAAATTATAAAATTATAATAAAACTGAAAATAAATTACAGTTAGAAAAAAAAGAAGGATTATAGTCTAGGCGCGTAAACTCTTTCTGCAACACGAATACGCCGCGTGTAATGCTGATGGTTTAGGCGTATCGTTGACGATACAACGGCAACTTCTCGAGGGCTATAGCACACTAGTCTTACGAGCTCCAGAGAACTAAAACGGAGTCGGGAACTGAGCATATATAAATTAAAACGACTAATAAAAATCTCAATTTTCTTTTCTTTTTATCTTAATTCCCCTTCACTTACAAACTGAATTTTCTTTCGTGCCTTTTTTCCATCTTTTCTGTTTCCTAGTGTAACTTAAACACACAAGCTTATAAAATAAGGCTGAGTAGATTAAAGAGAAGTTGGAACTGGATCCGGGTCTGGCTGCGTGCTTGATGATATCAATTAATTCTAGTGAAAGAGTCATTCAACTATTGGCCAACTTAGTTATTATCAGCCGAACCCGAGAACCTCTTATGAATGCAATCACACATCCCTTGAGGAGAGCTGGCTAGAATTCATCATGTGATGCATTTTGTTCACGGCAGAACGTCCCCTGCAATTTAAATGAAAAGCACAACAGAGAAAACAGGATGTTGGTCAGGAAAATAAGATTGTGCACGCACAAGGGCCACACAATGAATGAGATAAGGTTATATAAGTGTTGACAATCTCCTAATATACTGCATAGCTAGGCAGGATGGAGCTAAAGAGAAGATTGCCACGCCTAAGATTTTTCATTTTTTTTTTTTTTTTTTTTTTTTTTTTTTTTTTTTTTTTTTTTT